ATGACAGCAATACATTCAGTGAGATCAATCTAGAATGCCATTTTATGAAAAATAAAACTCAAAAATTCATTATTTTTTTATCCTCAATTTACTTATTTATAAAGCAATCAAAATTGTTTTGAAAACAAACATGGCTTTCATGTGCTGCATGTGAATGTATGTTAAAATTTTTGACATAAAAAACTGATGCATATTCCTTAATGATTATCAAGTGTAATAAACTAAGGTAGTGCAATGATAAAAGTACCTAGTATTAATAAGCATCTTGTAAATAGGTAAAGTTGGAAGGTGATATATTTATTCTCAGGTATAGGGATTTTAGATTACTCATGTCAAAAATTACTTTTTGTAATTAGTTGCATCAGCACCAAATTATTTATCACACAATGCGGTGGTCCTCTGTAAGCAAGATTTGACTGTGAATGTGGGGATTTGTTTTTTTTCAATGCAAGGGATTTTTTTTTATTTCTCAAATTTATTATACTAGAGAATATTTTTTTTTATTTTTAGTGGACAAATAATTTTTTTCTTCATGGATCACAATGTGATATTTTCATCGATGTATGCATTGCAGAAAGATTCATTCTATCTAATTTTTTGTAGGGTAGTTAAAAATTTACTCTTTTCTAATATTTTGGAAATTTAAAATGTATTATGATAAACTATAGTCCCCGTGAGTGCCATAGATCCCTAAAACATTCCTTCAGCCTGAAACTTTGTACCCTTTGATAAACATCTTTGCCTGCCCCACCCCTCTCTCTGCCCCCATCCTCTGATAACCATCTTTCTTTTATGAGATCAACTCTTTTAGATTCCACATGTCACTGAGATCATATAACCCTTATCCTTCTATGCCAGGCTCATTTCACTTAGCCTAATRTTCTTGAGTTCCATCCACATTGTCCTAAAAAACAGAATTCCTTTCTGTATCACAGATGTGTATTGTTACTGAGTATAGAGTAAGTCCCCCCTTAATCTGCAGGAGATAATGTTGCAAGACTCACATTGGCGTATCTGTGATCAAGTTAATTTATAAATCAGGCACAATAAGAGATTAATAATAACAATTATGATTTTAACAATGTATTATAAGAAAAGTTATGTAAGTGGAGTCTCTCTCTCTCTCTCTCTCTCTCTCTCTCTCTCTCTCTCTCTCTCTCTCTCTCTCTC